ATGCAAAAGCTGACACAAATTGCATGTGAATACATAGTTATGAGCCTAACATTAATGCATTCGCACAAGTCAGGAAGCAATTAAGTGTGTATATTAACACCATTATTATTTAACATTGTTCTAAAGATCCTAAGCAATGCAATGAAATAAGAGAAATAAGATATATGAAAATACAGTTATAATTCTTTACAGATTATATGATTGCTTGCCTAAAAAATGCATTCGCATCAACTGAAAAACCATTAGAAATAGCACAAGAATTCAGTAAGGTGGTAACAAAATTAATATACAGAAATTACAGTCATTTATATAAAAACAACCAGGAAAAAGATATAATAAAAGAAATAATATATTTGTGATCACAACAAAAAATAAATGTGAAATAAACTTAACATGAAATATGAACTATTCATATGAAGAAAACTTTAATGTGCGGCTGAAAAACACAGACATGAACACACAAAAAGACCTACCATGTCCTTGAGTAAGAAGATTCAGCATTATATAGTTAATCTATGAGTATAATCCATAAAGTTCATCTATAAATTTAATGATGTCCTAATAAAAATACTAGTATTTTCTTTTGGAATTAGACAATGATTCTGACATTCATGTGAAAAAATAAGTAAGAATATCTGAGAAAATTCTGAAAAAGAAGAGCAAGGAGGAGGCTTGACTCTACAAGACATGAAATATATTGTAAAGTGTGGTACCAGCTGATAAAGACACAGTCATAGTAGTAAGACAGAAAAGAAAGTCTAGAAATATTCCTAAATGCATACAGGAATTTAGCTTATGTTAAAGGTGAAACATCAAACCAATGGGGTAAAAAAAGTTTATGTATTAATTGAATTTGTGAAAACTGAGTAGTCTGTAACCAAAAATCAAAATCTGTTGCCACTGAGCTGATGCCAACTCATAGTGACCCTAAAGGACAGAGTAGAACTGCCCCCTAGGGTTTCCAAGGAGTGGCTGGTGGATTGGAACTGCCAACCCTTTGGTTAGCGGCCATAGCTCTTAACCACTGTGCCACCAGGACTCTACAAGTAGCCTACAGGGGAAAATAAAGTGATATCCTTATTTCTATCTTGTAGCAAAACTAAAATATCTTTTTTTTCCCCAATAATGTGAATAATGAAACAATAAAAGCACATAAAGAAGAGTGAACTGTTTTATGTAATCTTAAAGAGGGGAGGTTTTTCTAAATATATCACAGATCCAAAGTCATAAAAGAAAAGATAGATTTAACTTGACTGAATAAAATATATGTCAAAAGACAAATGGCATTGCAACAGTAATAACCAAAAAATATGTGTGTGGTTACACAGGTAGATATATATGTATAGGTAAGCACATATGAATATACGGGTCTGCATGTATAGGTGTTTCTGTAGGCAAACGTATATACAGGTTGGTGTGTGCTGCATATATATTCATACATAAAATAAAGCACATAGAGGGCACAGTTATGGATATTTCCTAGACATAACCAAACATCTCACAGGATTGGGTCACTGGGTTTGAGAGCTTAGGACAATAGTCTCAGGGGGCAACTTGTTCAATTGGCATAACATAGCTCATAAAGATAATGTTCTACATCCTAATTTGGTAAGTAGTATCTGGGGTCTTAAGCATACATGCAGCCATGTAACATACAACTGTTGGTCTCTACTTGTCTGTAGCAAAAGAGAAAGAAGGAAACCAAAGACTCAAAACTAGTCTACAGAACTAATAGTCTACACGAACCACAGCTTCACTCACCTTGAGACCAGAAGAACTAGATGATGCCTGGCTACCACTATTGACTGTTTTGACCAGGGACACAACAGATGGTCCCGGATAGAGTAAGAAAAAAATGTAGAACAAAAGTCAAATTCCTAAAAAAGGCCAGACTTACAGGACCAGTAGAGACTAGAGGAACCCCCGAGACTATCACCCTGGGATACCTTTTAAACTTGGAACTCAAACCACTCCCAGAGGTCACCTATCAGCCTAAAGACAGAGTGGCTCATAAAATAAATACTATCACCTGTGAGTACTGTGCTTCTCTAAACAATCATCTAAATGATATCTAAAACAGAACAACCAGAATGGAAATAATCAGAATGCTGACACATTGTGATAAGTGTAACCAATATCACTGAATAATATGCATAGAAATTGTTAAATGAGAGCCTAACTTGCTATGTAAATTTTCTCCAAATCACAAAAAAAATTTTTTTTAAAAAAAAAAGATGATTACCTCTTTCCCAGTTCACCACAAAGAGGTGTTGAACATTTCTTTGCAAATTGGGAAAGGAAAGGAGAACTTGAAGTCTGGAGTCTAACTCGAACAGTCCCTGGGTGGCGCAAACAGCCAAAAAGTTGGTGGATCAAAGGCACCCAGAGATGCCTCGGAAGACAGGTCCGGTGATAGGCTTTCAAAATGTCATAGCCTTTGTCATGGATTGAATTGTGTCCCCCAAAAATGTGTGTCAACTTGGCTAGGCTATGATTTCCAGGATTGTGTGATTGTCCATGGTTTTGTCATCTGATGTGATTTTCCTATGTGTTGTAAATCCTGCCTCTATGATGTTAATGAAGCAGGATTAGAGGCAGTTATGTTAGTGAGGCAGGATTCAACCTACAAGATTAGGTTGTATCTTAAATCAATCTCTTTTGAGATATAAAAGAGAGAAGTGAGCAGAGAGACAGAGGACCTCATACCACCAAGAAACAAAAGCCAGGAGAATAGTGTCCTTTGGACCCAGGGTCCCCGCACTGAGAAGCTCCTTGACGGGGGAAGATTGATGACAAGGACCTTCCACCAGAGCCGACAGAGAAAGAAAGCCTCCCGGAGCTGGCATCGTGAATTCAGACTTCTAGCTTCCTAGACTGTGAGAGAATAAATTTCTCTTTGTTAAAGCCATCCACTTGTGGTATTTCTGTTATAGGAACACTAGATAACCAAGACAGCCTTGAAAACCCTATGGAGAGTTCATGGTAACCCCATGTGTGTCAGAGTAGAACTGTGCTCCATAGGGTTTCAATGGCTGGTTTTCTGGAAATAGATTGCCAGGCCTTTCTTCCGAGGTACTTCTGGGTAGGTTCAAACTGCCAACCTTTTGGTTAGTAGTTGAGCACTTAACCATTTGTGCCACCCAGGGACTATAACTGGCCCTAGACCCTAACAAATAAGTCAAAGGAATAAATAAATAAATAGGAAATAAGCTGCTGTTTCTAATGTAACATCCTTAGGGGAGACAAAGAAGTAAGAACTAGACCCAATTCTGATGACAGGTGGCAAAAATCCTTACAAGAAGACAGACCTATTCACAGAGTGCGGCTGCACACATCCTGCCTGTTCAGATGAGAATTTAAGAGCCTACTGTACTCCTGGGTTTCTCTTTGAATAACTACATGGGATTGTACATCCTGTAGCAGACAAGCCATGGCCCTAGTGGGATCACTATCATTACATCTGTAACCAAGTGGGAGTCACTATCACATCCATAGCCAAGAGACACCTGCCCTAATCCCAAGAATATTTTACTCCAGAACCAAAAGTAAGAGATGATAGAGTACAAGAGCTTATTTCCACTTCTTCCTTCTATGAGCATTACATCAGATTAAACTGGCCCTTTGCTTTTTCAAAATCAGCTATTGAGTGCCCATATCTCTGATGGCACAGTGGTTTAGTGCCAGCTGCTAACCAAAAGGTCTGAGGTTTGAACCCACCAGCTGCTCTCTGGGAGAAAGATGTGACAGTCTGCTTCCATAAAGATAACAGCCTTGGAAACCCTATGGGGCAGTTCTACCCTGTACTATAGGGTCACAGAATCAACTCGACTGCTACGGGATGGGTAGATTAGGGAGGATTAGGATATACTCTTTCTTGCCCTTAATCCCTCTAACCAACTTGGGCTAACTGAAACAACTAAAATAAAAATAAAATAGTCTTCTATTTTTATTCATGCATTCATTGATCTAATATTTACTATCCTAGATGCTCAAGATACAGTGGTAAATAAGATATAGTCCATGCCCTAAAAGAACTACAGAAGAGAAAGGCAAATAAGGAGACTATAATCCAGTGTCATAAGTACTACAGAATTATGGTCCCCTCCATTACTGCCTTCCAGAACTGTAAACATCATCTTCCTTCCCTATCTATGTCCAAACTCTATTAAGAAGAAACAATAAAGCCCTTCTCATTTTTGAAGCATCAGTGCCTAAAATAATCTGGGGTCCTGAACACAACCAAACACTTTGAGGGACAGAGTAGCTGGGGCTGGGATCTGGGGACCATGGTTTTGGGGGATATCTAGGTCAACTGGCATAACAAAGTTTATTAAGAAAATGTTCTGCATCCCACTTTGGTGAGTAGTTCTGGGGTCTTAAAAGCTAGCGAGCAGCCGTCTAAGATGTATCAAAGCAAAGGAGAATAAAAAACACCGAAGACACAAGGAAAATATTAGCCCAAGAGACAAAGAGCCACATAAACCAGAGATTCCATCAGCCTGAGACCAGAAGAACTAGATGGTGCCTGGCTACCATCAATGATCACCCTGACAGGGAACACAACACAGAGTCCCTGACGGAGTGGGAGAAAACTATGGAGCAGAACTCAAATTCAAGTAAAAAGACTAGACTTAATGGACTGACTGAGAGTAGAGGAACCCCCGAAACCATGGTTCCCAGACACTCTGTTAACCCAGAACTAAAACCATTCCCAAAGCCCACTCTTCAGACAAAGATTAGAATGGACTATAAAACATAAAATAATACTCGTGAAGAGTGTGCTTCTTAGTTCAGGCAGGTACATGAGACCACATGGGCGACTCCTGTTCAGAGGCAGGATGAGAAGGCAGGAAGGGACAGGAGCTGGTTGAATGGACACGGGAAACCCAGGGTGGAAAGGGGGAGTGTGCTGTCACATTGTGGAGACTGCAACTAATGTCACATAATAATATGTGTATAAATTTTTGTATGAGAGATTAACTTAAGCCGTAAACTTTCACCTAAAGCACAATTAAAAAAAAAAAAAAGTATGTGGGCCCAGCCCCTATCAAAATATAAAACTCAAGTATTCACAAACTATTGTAAGTAAGGAAATGTCATTCCAATAAATGTTACTAAGACTCACTGTAATTGTATACAGATCAATCCTGTAAACTCAATAAAAACTATTTTACTAGGTTTATAAAAAGCAATGATTCATACAAAAAAATAAAATAATCTGGGGACTCAATCATGTAAACTGCTTCTTTAAACTTTCCTCTATGCAAATGCCTCATCAGATTGACCACTGTAGTGAAATTGCATAACATGCAAATCACACATTCAAAGTGTGGAAAAGATACAGTCACACATTGGTTTTGTTGGTCACACACCACATATATGCATATCCATAAAAACTAAATTCAGTCAAGGCAAGGTCTTTATGAAAACGTGAAGAGCTGAGAACTGCAAAGCACCACTCTGTCCTCATCCACTTTCCACAATTTATATTCTCACCATTAGCATTATTTTTTAGAGTTAAGCTCTATCTGCAAAGGGCCACTGTTAACAATAAGAATTTATTATCTGGGAGAAGTAACATGTTAATCTTTTAAACACATAAAAATCCTTTAGAACTTTAGCAACAGTATATTTGCACAGATTTCACCAGATAATCTGAAATTATAATATTGAAAAGGTACATTTTGACAAAGGTAGTAGGGGTAGGAATGAGAGAGGCAGCATTAGTTGCTAGAGTGAGAAATACTAAGAACAAACTTCATCTATTTCACAAATATGTTTTCATCATTAAATCATTAACATAATATCAAAATAGTCTCAAAGAGTCAGCAGTAAAGCATCAATCCCGGGGAGGTTGCATTAATCTTACCTCTAATACCATATACTAGAAGGTTCAGCATTCACTAAATACATACTCATAGTTGTCCCAATACCCAGTGGGCAGCTTCCCCTTTTTAAGGAGTTGTAAGACAGATCTGACGGTCAGGACAGAGTGACCATCCATCAAAGTCTGACCTTCTTACAGACCCACTGTAAAAGAACTTCACAGCTAGAGGCTTGGAGACCATTTTTGTTAATGACCCCACACGTCTGTACAACGCTGTTGGAAGAAATCCTGTAAGAAATCAGAAAAATTAAAGTGACCTCCAGAGTAAAGGAGCTGAAAGGCATGAAGGGAAAAAAATTGAGCAAATTCTCTCTCCCTATTCAGGCCCACATAGTAACCAAAACAGCAGAAGAATAAGAACGGCTCATTAGCCTCTCTTTAAAATGTTCTTTTTTTTTTTTTTTGCCCTAATCCACTGTTCATTCCCTTCCTTGCTCCCTATTCCCTATCCTTCTCATCCTTTCCTCTCCAGTTCGTCTGCTATCCTTGATCTATTTCCCCAGACACATGATTTTTTGTCCCCTTTTCTTTTCTTTTTTTGCACTCTTTTGAAGTCCCTTACCTTGAGAAGTTTAGGGCTGATCCATCTTCCCATCTCCAACCAAAATTGTTCCTCAGACCCACCCAGTGAAAGTCATCATGGAGGATATTTTTTAGGAAGCTCTAAAGGAGAGATTGAAGATGATGAAAAGGAGAAATCCAAAGAAGAAACCTAGTATTATAGTCAAACAATTGTTCCTCACGCCCTCCCTTATCACACCACACACTCCAAATAACTAACCAGTCTTAATTTCTAATTCTAGAGATTTGTTGACTGCTGAGTGGACCTGCTTCCCAGAATTGAATTTGAGGTCTATAATTGCATTCTTTTAACTTGACAGATAAGATAATATTACATCTCTACCTTCCATCCCAACTTCCTCCATGATTAGATGGGACACCTGATATGTATTCAAATAATTTTGAAAAAGATGTTAAATACTGCTGAGGAAGCTGTCATCTTTCTCAACATCACTGAATACATAAACTATAATTGCTCCTGTGGCAATATACTTTGTTCTTTTCCACTAAACTCCCATTTTCTAATTTCTAAAAATATTATATATGATAAGAAAAAAAATAGTTCTTAAGAAGACAAGTCTAAGACAAAGTTAAGTTGACTACAACCTTTATATGTCCCATGTTACCAACTAGAACAGACATAAAAGATTTTTTGCTTTGCAGGGTCTGACATTCAAAGGAAGGAACTTATATCTTAGGGAACTGACTTTGTAAATGAAACTTTCTGCATTTTTGTCTTTACTCCCACTGAGTACTTAAATGTATATTGTGGGGGTGGGGAGGTAGACACGAGTAAAGAAGGGTAAAACACGAAATGACATTCCAATTTTTCAGGACAGCTTGAAACCTTTCATGTATTTCTTAACCAACTTGCTTAAAAGGATTAGTCAAATTAAGAAAAAATGAATGTTTCCTCATTTCTCCAGTGGAATTATAGACAGAACATTCCACTTCCTTTTTCCCTTCATTTCAAGGGGAAAAAAATGGCAGCTCATAAAGCACAAAAATGGATAAAGATTTGCTCAAAAACCTCAATTAGATTCTGAAGACCTGGTATTAGATAAGATTCACTTACAAACCCAAATTCTGCCCTCACTATTCTCAAGACCCATGCCATTCTTAGTCACTTGATCAGTCCAATTTACTACTTCTCACTGGCAAGGCTGGATACTGAAAATTTTTACTGTATCAATTTCACTTAAAAATTTCTACTATATTTATTTGCTTCTTTTTGTTCTGGTATATCCCAAACATATAAAAGAGTATTTGGCACATTTATTTGGTTAACTCCTAGGGTAAGAGGGACAGAGAGTTGGCTAAAGACTTCCTCCTCCCACCTCCCACATGGAAGAGGCCTTCAAAACCAGAGTGCCATCACCCATACTGTGTATGTGTGTATGTATAGATGATATACATATGTATTTATGATATATTTATAAATAACCATAGAAATAGCAATAAAAGTATAAGGGTGTTAAGTTAGAACTCTTGTCCCCCAAAGAGGGGGTGAACTAGAGTACCTGAGGTGTTATGAAACTTCAAAGTTTGTAGTATTTGACTGCATTTTAGAGAAAACAACAGGATCTAAAAGCAAGGTAAAGACAGAACCCAAACAAATGAAATCAAGTAAATTTTTTCTTTTTTTTCCCTTTCTTTTTTGTAGGTCAATATGTATACCTTACACACACACACACACACACACACACACACACACGCTTTTGCAAGTAATTTTTAAAACTGTAATTAAAATACTATTAAGACACAGAACACACTCTTTAAGCTTCCAAAATTAGCATGGCTTATGGGATATATCTAAGTTATTTCAATCCATATACAGAAAAGCTAATAATATATCAAAGCTATTTAACTGGTCATATGTTTTGATTGGCTAACTTGATTTTAGGGACTGTATACTAAAAAATGGCTGCCCTCAAAGAATAATTCATATAAATATGATCATAGCTGCATAAAAATTAGAAACAAGTAAAAATTTTTCCAAGAATATAAAAATAGTTAAACAATAATGAAATAATAAATAATTTTTTAAACTAAGTAGTTGAAACAGTTTGATGCTTGGAAAAAATGGGAATAAAATAATGCTACATGATAAAGGCAGAACACCAACATGGCATATCCAAAAAGTCTAGAAATGTAGAATAAACATATTTTTTAAAGTATGTGTATTATGTTTTCAAATAATACCATTAATATGTTGATCTTCAATCTCCAGACACCTTTTCAGATGAAGTATTTAAAACAATGGGTGTAACTGTTAATCTGAAAAAAGAACAATATAGGGTACCCATGAAGTCTAAAAGTTGGGGGGAAACAGTGTTGTGGGAAAACTTACAGGGAGAAGTTTTTTAAAAATTTGCTTTTTTGAATTAACAGTTGAATCCATTGCTTTAAATTTAGAGATATTTTACCTAAAAAGGTGTCTGCAATTTGAAGAAAAACACATTGAGCATTTTACTTGAAAAATGTAACTGACATATTGTTTTCAAGTAAGTTTAGCCTATGTTTCCAGACTTTTCAGATATATCCTGTAGTATGTACACACTGATTACCATCACATAAAAACATGCAGATACATTAAGAGATTCAAAAGAAACAGCACACACTACAGGGGAAGTCAGCACAGCTGGACTAAACCAAAGCTAAGAAGTTTCCTGAATACAATCAAACACTTCGAGGAACAGAGTAGCAGGGGTGGGGTCTGGGGACCATGCTTTCAGGGGACATCTAGATCAATTGGCATAACAAAGCTTATTAAGAAAATGTTCTGCATCCTACTTTGGTGAGTGGCATCTGAGATCTTAAAGCTTGCAAGTGGACATCTGAGATGCATCAATTGGTCCCAGCCACCTGGAGTAAAGGAGAATGAAGAACACCAAAGACACTAGGAAAGTATTAGCCCAAGAGACAGAATGGGCCACATAAACCAGAAACTTCAGCCTGAGACCAGAAGAACTAGATGGTGCCCGGGTACCACCCATGAACGTCCGGACAGGGAACACAACAGAGAGACCCTGATGGAGCAGGAGAAAGAGGGGTGCAGAACTCAAATTCTAGTAAGAAGACCAGACTTAATGGTCTGACTGAGACTGGAGGAACCCCAGAAAGCATGGTCCTCAGATTCTCTATCAGCCCAGAACTAAAACAATTTCCGAGGCCAACTCTTTAGACAAAGATTGAACTGGACTGTGGGATATAAAATGATACTTGTGAAGAGTGTGCTTCTTAGCTCAAGTAGATACATAAGACTAACTGGGTAGCTTCTGTCCAGAGGTGAGATGAGAAGGCAGAGAGGGTTAGGAGCTGGTTGAATGGACATGGGAAATCAGGGGTGGAAAGGAGGAGTATGCTGTCACAGTACAGGGAGAGCAATTAGGGTCACATAACAATGTATGTATAAATTTTTGTATAAGAGACTAACTTGAAATGTAACCTTTCACTTAAACTACAACAATAAACAAAAAAAAATTAAATTAAAAAAAAGACATTCAAAAGAAACATTTGGCAGGCTACAAATTACTAGAGTTTGATACTGTTAAAAATGTTCCTCACAGTTTTGAGTAAGTACACAATACTGAATTCAACTTCTAGCCTCCTGTGAGAAAATAGATTTGTTTGTTAAAGCCACCCACTTGCTCAGGAAACCACCATTTGCTTCTCTCTTTAAAGATAGAGAGATTCTAGCTTACCACACCTTGGTGTGAAGTTCATACTGGCTACTTGGTCTAATTATAAAGGAAGGGTGACAAAAGACACATGTTATTAGACCATAAAGACCTCTAGAGTAAAGCAATTCTATCTACCTTACATTCCAATCATTTCTTCCAATCTTCTAACACATCCTCCCAGATTTCCTCATCAAGAGAACACTCAATTCAAGAAATCATAATTTACTTTGTGATACATATTTACTGAAATTTCATGCCTTGGCAGACAGAAGAGCAAAACAAAAGCTACTTTGACTTTAGGCTTTACTTTGAGCAACAAGAAGAATTAGTTGAAGTGAAGAGAAGAAAAACTAAAATTAAGTGACACCTACTACATGAAAGAAGGATTCATAAAAATTTTCTCATTTAATATTCATAACAGTTCTGGAAAGTTTTATCTCCACTTTACATAAGAGGAAAATGAGATTAAAAGAGGTTGAGAAAATTGCTAAAGGTCACATGGCTAGTAAGTGTAATAAAAATAGACTCATGAAGTTCATCCTTCAGCCACAGATTAGACAGCCCCATAAAACAAAACAAGACTAATGGGGACTTCCAGGCAACATGGCGCTATAGTCAGAAGCACCACTCTGTCCCTCTGCAGCAAAGATCAGAAAAACTAAGTCAAACAGTCACATGTCAATCCTGAAACCCTAAACATCAAATGAAGAGATAAAGAACACAGCCAAGCACCAAATGGAATAAGAAACTGACCAAGAACAGAGAGCGAGGAGAGATACATGCAGAGGGCCCCTATCAGCTACCGCAGCACAGATCTGCCACCTTGGACTCCTATCAGAGATCAGCGAACAGGAGTTACAAGATAGCAGCTTCACGGAGCTTCCAGCAGGAGACAGAACAACCAGTAAACAGTGATATAGGCTTTCCCACCACCCCCCTTCTTCACCCCCACTTAGCATCCTCTGCTTCCTGCAGCCACAGTCTCTTGTCCGGGGAACACCAGCTTTACCCCGGTGTGGCTTGGAGTCCACCTGTCCGCACTGGCTGGCTCCCTAAGTGTCTTTTGTTGGCTGCTGGTGTTGCTTTTTTCTGCTTCTTTAGAGTTCCTCCAGACCTCTCACCACCTCCCCCTCCTTTCTCTCAAATACCTGGCTTCATGCGCCATCTTTGCTTCCTCCTGAAAGGCTGCAAAATGCCACTTGACTATGAAACTGCTTTCCAGCCCATGCCGCCACGCTGGTGGGACCCCTGGGGCTTTTTTGTTTGTTTGTTTGTTTGCTCTGACTTGTTCTGTTTTGATTTGTTTGTTTTCTTTTTCTTTTCTCAGCTTGGGAGCCCCTTCTAGCCAGGCAGTACCACGTGGCTTGGAAGCTACTCCCTTACTCTGTGCAGACGCACAGGGATATCCCTGGGGGCATT